CCCGGGCTCCATGGTAATGGCAGCGGGAGAAACGTGTCCCAAGGGCAGGAGGGGAAACGAGGGCGTGGTGCTGCCAGGGAGCAGAGGACCAGGGCGAGGCCGGCCCTCTGGCTGCTCAGGACCAGGGCCCTCCTGGACTTGCTGGGGTGGAGGCGTGGAGGGAACTGAGACACCCCATGAAGCGCTTAAGGAGCGCCTTCCCGTGTCAGGTTGTGGAGCCCTTCTGCTCTGAGCACCTGCTGAGACAGTGATCTGTCAGACCGACCAGCCTGGGCACCGTCCCCGACACAAACAGGGACATGTTGAGCTGCTGCCTTGGGGCTGGGCCGTCAGGCTGGGGTGCAGGTCCTCGTTTTGCCCTCGAGGTTCAGCTTTAGCGTATTTCTTGTCCCCGGTATGTGTGCTCACCCTCCTTCAAGCCGACATCCCGAAGGTTGGGCTGATGCCTCGTGGCGAGTCCACGCTCCAGCTCCAGACGATCTGATCTGTGCGGAGTCAGTTCTCCTGGTGACTCCCGGCCCCTCACAGGGTCGCCTACCTTCAGCATTTGCAGCAGTTTGTGGACGAGGGTGGGGTCCTGCATCCTGACAGAGCAGGAGGGTACACTGTGCTGTGACAGACAGGTCTCCAGAACCCTGGGAAAGGCCTGGCGCTGGAGCAGTCCAGGTGACGGAGACCAGGGCCTCGCCGCCCCGCACAGGGCTGTCATCACAGCGCATCAGGGCCCGGGCTGCTGGGTGCTGGGTTGGACCGGATGGGGGACACCGTGCTGCCAGGTGCTGGGTTGGACCGGATGGGGGACACCCGGGCTGCCGGGTGCTGGGTGGGACCGGATGGGGGACACCCGTGCTGCCGGGTGCTGGGTTGGACTGGATGGGGGACACCCGGAGGTGCTGTGTGCTGGTGGGAGGGGACGGCCGCAGCCTGGGCAGCATGGTGGGCTGGCTGCCAGGCCCTCGCCCAGGGAAACTGCTGTCGCCTGTAACACCTTAGGAACACAAGTTTCGGGATGAAGGTACCTGCCCGTTCTGTGCCTTCCTGGGAGCACTGGGCATGGCGGGGGCCCCCAGCACCCTCCTGAAGAAGGGGAGGGCGGACAGTGCTCAGACCTCACCGGTTCACCGCGGGAGCCTGAGCGTGGGCCGCTGAGCAGCCTCACAATGCCCCAGTGTCTGGCCTGGGAATGGGGCCAGAGTTCGCCACCTGCTGTCAGGACCGCCGACAGCATTGTGCTCCGCATTGTGCCCCGTGAAAGGGCTCGCTCCCCACAATGCGGGCTGCTCTGGGAGGCAGACACAATGAACTTCGGGACAGTGTAGTCTGGGGGCCAAATGAGTCGTTTTAAGTAAATTGACTATGAGATCCGAAGCTTCATTAAGTTTCAAAACGAAAAACCAGTAAAAACTTCTTAGAGGTTTTTAGGTGGTGACTCAGAAAAACACGGGTGTTGCCCCCCATTTGAAACAACATAGTCTTAAAAGTGTTTTATTGGCTCAGCATCTGACACGATTCCTGTTTAACCATTGGATTTATTTGTTTCAAATCAATATTTAGAGGTTCTGTGATTTATTTCAAAGATTCTGCCTTGTAATAATTGTCAACCTAACCTTTAGGCTCTTTTTGGTCCAAAATACCTATTTCCATATGCTGTGGGTTGCAGGGGGATGTTTTATCCAGATTTAGTTTAGGTTCCCCAGGACAGTTGGGAACACAGACTCTGAGATCAGGAGAGAGACCGGGGGCAAGGAGAGGTTCATGTGGGGTGTTTTCACATCTGCCATCGGAACCTGGGGTGGAGGCGCCGTCCCTGGGCAGACAGAGAGGGAGGGGTCAGAGGAGAGAGTGGAGGAGAATGCTGTTGCTAAATTGCTTTTTATGTCAGATGTGTCTTCGGTGACTTGGAGTAAATGACCAGTGACAGAGATATGATTGGGCTTAGCTGCAACATTTTTTACTCTCTGGATTTTAAGAAAATGAAGAAGTTCTGGAACTTTTGGCCAAATCGTTGCGTCATAACGGTGTACCAATGCTTTAACGAGAGCCATGCAGTAACCAGCGAGTGTTGAAGGCTCCTGAGAGCTGGTTTACCTAGTCAGAGATAGTCCGGGGGTTCCAGCTGAGACTCTGCGTGGCAGTGGAGTGACAGCGGGGCAGGGGCTCCCCCGCCCCCTGCAGAGGTGGAAGCAGCCCAGGAAGAGAGACCGCGGGGACTGTGGTGCCGCCACCACAGCTGCACCTGGCAGAGCTTCCCAGTGGCTGTCTGGGAGGGAATGCACGACCGTGCAGTGTGCCCGCGTGCACATATGAACACGCACATTTCACATGCATGCGCAAACACATGCATACCCTCACACACAATGCACACACATACACAAAACACAATATACACACATGCTTATACACACGAACACAGCATACGCACACACATACATGCATAGATACACAACAGTGTACCATAACACACATCATGCATACATATACATACGCAACACACATGCCGTGCATGCATAAAACAGTAGCCACAACACACTTATCACACACATGAACACAGCATACATGCACACAGAACACACAATATACACACAACAAATGTATACACATGAACACAGCACGCACACACAACATGCACCATGCACACATGCGCACACACCACACATCATGCATGCATACACACACACAGCACACGTGCATGCACAACATACATACACCTGTCTCATAGAAAGACTGTCGTTGAGCCTCGGAAACTTGTTTTTTCACGAATAAGGAAAAGTTTGCAGAAAGTCAGATGGTGGCAGCCGGACTTCGCACAAGCCCGGGAAGCGCAGTGTTTGCACCCAGAATGCGGCTCACAGGGCCCTGACTCCTGTGGGAGGAGGCGTGATGGCAGCCCCGCGAGGCCTGGCGGGCAGCCCACCTGGCTGCGGGGGAGGGTCGCCGTGCGAAGGCGGTCGGGAGTCGTCAGGAGGCCGCCTTGGAAAGACTGAGGAGACGCGCTCGACTTTTATACCCACGTGAAGCACGTGGACGGGATGGTCCCAGATCTGCTTCCCGAAGTGGTCAGGCCCTCTTAGAGCCGAGGAAAGGGGAATCTGAGACTAAGAAGCTCCGTCGTACAGAGAAAAGATATTCCGTCCATCAGAACCACGCTTCGGGTCTGGGGGAACCTCCGGCATCGAAGCAAGGCGACGTGTCCAGTTTCTCGTCTCCACACGACCTTCCCGAAGCCCAGAGAGCGCCGGCCGAGGCTCCTGCTCGTCTTTGCTCGCCCTCTTCTCGTAGGCGCAACTCGAATGCCCTCAGCTTCCTTCCAGGGCTCTGACTGCGGGTGCGTCCCGAGGCGGGACACTGGGAGGAAGACGGGCCGTCTGACCATTAGGAGCCTGTCGGAGTCATGGTGGTGAGCTCACAGCCGTGCGCGAGGGCCTGGCGCGGGTTCTGGCCATGGTCAGGATCGCGGTGGCCCCGCGGGCGTGCTGGGCGAGACCTGGACGCCGTGAGGAGCTCGCTGCCCGAGAGCTGGGAGGAGGGCCAGCACGCTGGAGTGCCGCGGGTTCCAGAGCCAGCACGGCTGGAGGGGCCCTGGGGGGGCGATGGGAGGAGGCCGGGGCGGGGCTGACGGAGCCCACGGAGCGCCTTGTAGCCCCCCATCAGGGTTTGGGCCCACGAGCGGTGGGAGGCATGGAACGGGGTTAAGTGGGCGTGATCAGCTTTCGTTCTATAAGTGATGGCAGAGGGTGGAGGGGAGAGGGCAGGAATGGATGTCTGGGACCCGTGGCGAGCGCCGATGGTGTGCGGGGACCGTGGCCTGGAGCCCTGACAGAGGTGGCGGGACAGACATGTTGGCTGACGAGACAGGAGAAGGGCGGGAGAGAGGGACCCAGCTGTTCTATGAGAGATCTGAGTGAGGAGTCAGCACTGGCTTGTTCTAGTTCCTTCTCAGGGTGTCGGGGTGCCCCGCACCCGTAGGGCTGCCCGCTGTCCGCTCTTCCTGCCGTCACGCAGGCCCAGCTGCCTCAGGCTCCGCCAGCTGGCCCTCCGCTGGCCCCTAGTATCGTGTCCGGAGTGGACAGATCAGAACGGCGGGAGTGACTTCCAGTCCCCCAGCGTCCTCGTCTCCACCTCTTGCCGGGCGGACGGCTCGTGCACGGACCGCGCAGCCGATCCTGATGCCCGAGGCCCACGACCTGAGACAGGATTGAGCCGCGGTCGGAGGGCGGTGCCATCTGCGGGGACGGCACGGAAGGACTGATGGACGCTTTTCTCGGGAGTGATGCCAGCGCGCTGCACGACTGGCTGGGGAACTTCCGTGGACGGTTTGCTCGGCGCCGCGGGCCGTGGGCCTCCCCGTGTGGCTCTGTCACGATCCCCTGCACACACGGGGGGCGGTGCTGGAGAGCTGGCATTTCCCCAGCCAGTTACTGGCAGCTGCCAGGACTCTCGACCTCTGAATACCTCATGTGTGCGTTTTCAGAACAGTGACCTCTGCGCCACCACAGTGCCGCGGTCCCGGCCGGGAAGCACCCCCCACGTGCTGTCATCTGGTGCGCAGTCTGTGCGGCCTGTGGTCCCAGGGTCACTGTGAGCCTTTCCCCGGCTCGAGCCCGGTCCAGCCGGGGGGCACCGTGTTCGGTTATCCCGTCTCTTCAGCCCTCCGACGGCTGTTCTTCAGCTGCTGTTGGACTTTTGAGACGTTGCCCTGCAGGACGCCCCCCGACTGGCCCAGGCGGCTTCCCCAGGTGTATGTCCAGGTGTGCGTCCCGGGCAGGAAAGCCCAGTGGTGATGCGCACCCTCCCCGTGCACCTGACGAGCCGAATCCATGTCATTCCTGGGGGAGGAAACTTGGATCATTCAGTGAAGGTGGGCCCCTCTGGTTTCTCCCCTGCGAAGGTACCTTCGTCCTCCTAAGGAAACGGTTATTTAACTACTTCTCAGTGACCACTGAAGTGTCGCTGAGCTCTGTGTCCATCTCATATTTAATCCGCACCCCCTCTCTCGGCAGTGTTTTCGAGCACTGTGCTGCAAGGGACCTCCGCCCGCGCGCCCCGAGTATGACCTGGTGTGCATAGGCCTCACGGGCTCCGGCAAGACCAGTCTGCTGTCCAGGCTCTGCAGTGAAAGCCCTGAGCACGTCGTGTCGACCACAGGTGGGTGCCCGGCCCGTTCTCTCGCTCCCCCCGAGACGGTCTCGTTCCTTTCCTACTGGGGGACCCCCCCCCCCCGCCATGTGTGGTGAAGTGCTCCAGCTTCTTTGTTTTGCTGTCAGCTGCTCTACCTGGTTTCCAGAGTAGGTGGGAGGGGCTCCATAACCGTAACCTGCCGCCCCTCTGCGTGTCCTTGGTCACTGCAGTGCCCCTGAGCACGTCGCCTTCAGGACAGCCTCACCGCTGAGCCCGAGACCTGGACTTCTCGTCCTGTGACGGTGGCGAGGACAGGCCCCGTGAGTGGCCGCTCCCACCGAGTGTCGCTGTTGCCCACTTACGTGGGTCCCTGAACAGGGTGACCAATGAATCATCCTTCTTCCCTCCTCGTTGTCTCCAGAGAGAGTTGGTGCCGGGACCACAGACCAGGCTGACCGTGCTGTTCCCCGAGACGGCCCAGGAAAGCCGGCTGAGGCAGGGACTCCCCATCAGGGAGACTGGGCCACGCCTGGGGACGTTCTGGTTGTCAGAGCTGGGAGGGGTGCCACTCACTTCTGTTGGGCTGCTGAAAATCCCCGGTGAGGGCAGCCCCACCACTAAGAATCATCCGGCCCCACGCGTCCAGTGCTGACCCAGAGCTTTTGTCTCCCCCCAAATGCTCCCTCTTTCTCCCTGACACGAAGCCGGGAAGCCGAGTGTAAGTGGACAGTGGGGGACAGTGGGGGAGAGGAAGAGCGGGGCTGTCGGGGAGGAGCCGACGGCGAGACGTTGTCTGGGACAGGCGGAGAGGTTGTTCCTGCAGCCAGCTTTGTCGGGGCTCCTCCTCTGAGCCATGTGCGGTGACAGGACCTGGGAATAGCAACGCTCCCAGCGTTCCCGAGACTCGGTCCACCGGCCACGTAGACAAGGAGCTCACGTCCGGAAATGTGCAAAAGCGGAGGCGTGGCCCGTGTGGCTTGGGATGGGGGAAGGGAAGGGTGCGCCGTGGGGTTTTCTGTGTTGGATCTCGAAGATAAGTGAGCCTGGCAGACGGGCGGGCCAAGAGAGGGGTGGGAGAAGAGAGAAGACTTCGGGACGGAGGGAAGCCTGTGTGAAGGCGGAGGGGCCTGGGACACGCTCGCTCCACATCTCCGTGTCCGCAGAGCGTGGTTGGTGGAACCGAGGAGTCGAATGGTAAGAGGAGTAAGGGCTTAGGACTTCTGATCGAGTGCGTATTTGCTGTTTGTAAAACTGTGGATATCTCTTGCGAAATATGTTATGTAATTATACAAACTTAATTAACTTAATGATGCTTTTATTTTTTTAAATCCTCACTCGAGGATATGTTTTTATTGATTTTAGAGAGAGAAGAAGGGGGCATGAAAGAGAGAGAGAGAAAAATATTGATCGATTGCCTCCCGCATGTGCCCTGACCAGGGATTGAACCCGCAGCCTTTCGGTGTATGGGACGATGCTCCAACCATCTGAACCCCCCAGCCAGGGCTTAATAATTCACTTAAGGCAAAATAACTTTACCCCAAATGTGTAAGAGCAACTGTTTTTCACTTCTCGGAGCTCGAAACAAGATACACTCTAGCTAGACCTGCAGTTGGGAATGCTAATGAAAAAAATTTTCTGTAAATAATACATTTATAATTTTTTTATTTGTAAGCTGCTACGGAATTTGTTTTGTGTTTGCTTTTATTAAAGGTTTTAATCATGTTTTCTTGTCCTGGAACCGGCCCTGGTGCTGTGTGCTGATGCCTTTCTGATGGATTAGGCAGTGAGTTGGCTGACTTTTTGAACGGCAGGCTTCTGTGAGTTGTCATGGTTCTGCACCGGGCACAGTGCCTTTTGGAGGCCTCTCTGGAGATCCCTGCCATCAAGAAGTTTACACCCAGGTTAGGAAGATAAGTGTTGTAATGACAAACAGTTTACACTTATGGGATGTTTAATATATCCCAGGTGCTAAGACAGAACGTGATGTGTGCTATAGCGGGTGGTGTAAACATGACAGTTAAGAGAGAGAGTGAACATTCCTAACGTGGGGGATGGGGAGGCCCCATGTGAGGGTAGGCGCTGAGCAAGAGGGTGGGACGAGGGGAGTGGGTAGAAGCATAGGGGCCGTCAGAGAGCAGTTAGTGGTGTTGCTGGGCTGGGGCCCAGGACGTAGAGGCGCAGGGTGTGCCGTGCCCCGAGGCGAGAGAGACCGGCCGGTGGCGGTGAGCCAGCTCCGCTGTGATTGTGGGGATGGAGGGCTGGAGTCAGGTGTGCTTGGTCCCGCGAGGGTGACGGCCGCATTGGCTACCAGAGCGCAGAGGACGAGGAAATGATCGCATCTGACTCAGGTTTCGAGCCTGGTGACTGGTGCATCACGAAAAGGAGGGAGAACGTGACCGGCAGTTTCAAAAGGAAAGATGACGAGTTTGCTGAGGACACGATCATTTCGAGGTGTTGGCAGGCCTTCCAACAGCGATCCTGATGCCAGACGACAGGCTCGCTGCAGAGGTCTGTAGCTGGGGACGCAGACTTGAGAGGTGGCTGAATGTGGGTGGGGCGAGCCGGTCAGGGTGAGAGTGGAGGGAGAGGAGGAGAGGGCTACCGACCAGCTGTGTTCTGTTCATTCCTTCTGCGTTTCTTCAATGCCTGTCATGGGGCTGCCACTGCTGTAGGCCCCGAGGACGCCTCGATGAACTACACAGGCAAAGTCCTTGACCTTGGGAGAGGACACTCGAGCGCCTGCATTAGACAAGGACCCCAAATAGGCAGTTCTGGATAGGACTGTGTAAGTCCAATATGATCAAGAGGTTAGAAACCAGGTGAAACAGTATAGACAGAGTCTAAAATCTGAGAGCGCACCATTGCGTGCGGTGACAGCGTGGTCATTAATGACCAGTGACGGCCCCAGTAGAGTGTTAGCTTAGAAACGAACCTGAAGCCTGAAGGGGTGGGGAGCCCGCAGAGGAAGTGGGCGGAGACTGTCCTTTCACTCGTCGACCCCTTGGCGGAGACTGCACCCGGATTCCTCGGGCGAGGAGGTAGACAGAGACAGAGGAAGTCGAGTTCAGGGCACGTGTGTCTGTGAGGGAAGGTGCCAGGGCAGCATGCAGGTGGGCAGAGGGGTCGGGGAGAAGCAGACACCCAAGAGGCTGTAGAGAGCAGCCAGTGCAAGGATGAGTGAAGACTCCTGATTCCGGAGAGACACGGGGACTAGAACTGGTTTACCCTCCCACCTGCAGTAACTGAACCTTCTCCCCCAAAACCAGACGGAATATATGAAACAGTTTTCAAGAAAGTAAGTATCAAGCAACAAGGTTATTCCCTTTCTTGAAAACTGTTTCCAGATGGAAAGGGGGTGTGGGCAGGTGGAAGAGGTGGAGGGGAGACCAGCGGTGATGGGTGGAGACTAGACTCTGGGTGATGAACGCACAATACAGTACACAAATGATGTATTAGATGTATTATAGAATCGAACACTTGAAACCTATATAATTCTATTAATCAATGAAACCGCAATAAATTCGATAACATATGTTTTGTTTTTTTAAAAGGCTAGTCACCCCTGAGAGATGAGAACACATGAGATGAGCCCCACAGTTGCCCAGCTTCCTGCCTGAGAGAGTCCCCGGCTGTGGCACGGGTCTAGTGAGAACTCGGTGGGGCTCGGGGGCTGCCTGCCCTGACCAGGTGGAGCTGGGAATGGAAGTCAAGGCAGCTGGAGGTCATGGGACACGGTACAGGAGAAGAGAGGGTTGACAAACAGAACCCTCGTCATCTTCAGAGGGTCTGCCTCGGGTATCCAGCAAGGTGTTCAGCGCACGCACACGAGCAAACTCAACGCGCCGGAAAGGACCCCTGGAAAGGGCTAGAGGGAGCGGTGCCTGGCATTCACATGGGGCGGAGAGTTCTGCCTGTTTTCACTAACTGGCCTGGAACAGCTGTAATATACAGGGTATTGGGTAGAGTGTTCAGGAAGGTCTTGCCTTGGGCCTTAGCTCTAAACTGAGCACGTCTCCGACCCACCTAATAAGTCACATTAAGACTGAAGTCTGGAAGTTTCCTAATAACTTTAAGGCATCCTGTGGCAAAGCTGTGTAACATATGCAGAAAACAAAATTTTCTAACACTTCACACGGTGAAATTCACAATGTCTGACATTCAATCAAAAATTACCAGGCATACAAAGGGGCAGGAAAACGTGCTTCATAATGAGACGAATAATGAATCAGTGAATTGAAACTGACTCAGAACCGACAAAGATATTAGAATTAGCAAAGAAATACATTAAAACTTATAATTGAATTCTATCTCTTCTTAAAGTTAAGGAGAGATATAGAAGATACAAAAGAAAAAACAGTAAAAAATTTTTAGTGGCAAACACGATAGTATTTGAAATGAAATAGGCACTAAATGGAATGAATGACAGATTAGACAATGTTGAAGAAAAGATTAATAACCTTGAAATCACTGACATTAGGGTTGTTCAAAGTAAAGACAGAAAGAGGAGAAGATGCAAAGAGCATCAGTGAGCTGGGCCGACTGACAGGTTACCTGACATGCAGGTGATTGGCGTCTGTGAAGGTGAGGGGGTAGAGAAAGGGACAAAAAAATATTAGAAGAGATAATAGCCAAAGCATTTTTGAACTTGAAGAAAACTATAAACTTGGATCCAAGAAGCTCCCTGAACCCCAAGCATAAGAGAGACCAACAGAACACCAAGCACATTCAGATGAATTCACTCAGCACTGGTGGTAAACAGTGGGGTGGTTACTTTTATGTGCCAATGTGGCTGGGCCACAGTACTAAAAAATGCGATGAAACATTTATTCTGGATGTTTCTGTGAGAGAGTTTTTGGATGAAGTTAATATCTAAATCAGTGAATTTTGAGTAAAGCAGATTGCTCTCTCTGGAGTGTGGGTGGGCCTCACCCAATTAGTTGAAGGCCTGAATAGAACAAAAGACTAATTTCATCTGAGCAAGAAGGAATTCTGCATCATTGGCCTTCGGGCTTGAAGTGCAGCATCAG